CTGTAGGGATGAACGAACCGCTCTCTTTGGGGATGAACTGCCTCTGTAGGGATGAACCACCCTCTGTAGGGATGGACCGCTCTCTTTGGGGATGAACTGCCCTCTGTGGGGATGAACCACTACTTTTAAAAGCACTTTTATTAAAAACAAAACAGATAAAAAGATTTATGTAACTCCTGTTTTCCTAAAGTTGTTGCAGGGAGATTTCAACATGTTGTGTCATAATTCAGGCTTACTTTAATGTTCACAGAAAAAACAAAACATATACTTTTGAAGCTTCAAAGAAGTCTTGTTCTTTTAATGTGGTGTTGTGTGAAGTAGTTATGGGCAATCATTATCTTACCTGCAGCACACAACAGTCAGAGTCAGGGCCAGAACTCATTTTCAGCCCTGGAGTGTCACGCCTCAGACTGGCCCACTTTAGATCACGACCCATTATTATTAAAATCATGTAATTATAACTTTAGCTGCATCTGTATCCAGAGCTTTACTTTTTAAAAATTCTAGTCTTCTCTGCACGAGCCGTGCTCTTTCATCAGAGCACGTCTGCAAAAAAAACAAAAAAAAAAGGAGAGCTGCCAGTGGAGGCGGAGCCAGCCCTGACTGGAGGCGGACCTGGCCCTGGGTGCCTGGGTGAAGGCGGGGCGGCCTTAGGTGGAGGTGAAGCCGATCCTGGGTGGAGGCGGAGCCATCCCTGGGTGGAGGCGGAGCCGGCCCTGGTACAGCGGTAGCGGTGTTCTGTGTTTTTATGTTGTTCTAAAGTTCTAAAAAAAACAAAAATAAACAAGAAGTGCCGGCCCTGCGGACCCAGACTGTGCATCAGACCGGCCCACCAGGAAATGTCCTGGACCTGGTCCTCCCGATTAGCCACTCCGGGCCTGGTCAGAGTGATCCCAGTTTCAAACACTGGTTGAAATTTCTGGCAGAGTCAAGCTAATGGCTAATATAGGAGGAACTCTTTAGAGGAACTCGTTCCAAACTCTAAAATTCAATCTAAAATGGCCGCCTGACTCAATGTAAACAACGATTTCATGTTTTATGTCCAGGATTTGAGCTGTTTTCTGTTTTCTCTCTGCAGGTATCTGTACTGCGGAGAGATCTCTCTTCGTTTGGACCAGGCCACACCGCTGCACAAACTGGCCACAAAGTACCAGGTTCTGAGTCTTCAGCGGGGAATCACCCACTACATGACCCAGAACCTGGCCCGGGACTCTCCGTCGGGTCAGGTGGCGGGCTGGTATGAGTACGCCCTGCAGGTGGGGGACATCACTCTGAGGGACAGCTGTCTGCAGTTCCTGGCCTGGAACTTGTCGTCGGTTCTGCAGAGCGGGGAGTGGATCAGCATCAGCAGCGAGCTGCTCATGACCCTGCTGGGCCGCTCCGACCTGGTCCTGCACAGCGAGGTGGAGCTCTTCACGGCTCTGGAGGCCTGGATCGTCCAGAACGAGCCTGACAGTTTGACGGCAGAGAACGCCCTGAGAGCTGTGCGTTACGCCATGATGCCCCCGCGCGAGTTGTTCCGCCTGCAGACCCAGTCCACGGTCCTGGCTCGGTACCAGGAGTCGGTGCGCGACCTGCTCTACATGTCCTTCCAGTTCCACTCCGCCTCGCCGCTGCAGATGGCCAAATACTTTGACGTGAACTGCAGCCTCTTTGTACCCAGGAACTACCTGTCGTCGGTGTGGGGGTCCCAGTGGATCATCAACAACCCGACCCGGGACGACCGCAGCACCAGTTTCCAGACCCAGCTAGGCCCCAGCAGCCACGACGCCAGCCGGAGGGTGACGTGGAACGCCCTGTTCTCGCCCCGCTGGCTTCCCCTCAGCATGAGGCCCATGTACACGGAGACCGGTGCCATGCAGCCCACGCGCGTGGACGGCGGGCGCCCTCGGATCATCATCACCCCGGCCACGTCCAGCGCCGACTTTGCCGGCGTGAACTTCCAAAAGACGGTGCTGGTGATGGCCCAGCAGCAGGGCAGGCTGGTGGTGAAGCACGTCTACAACTTCCACCAGAGCACTGAGGAAAACGGCGACTTCCTGTCCGACGCCAACCTGTACCGCCGCACGTCCGAGTACCTCGTCGACGGGTCGCTCTTCCTCCATGTTGTCGTTAAACCGCTTTACCAAAGCCTGATCACCACAAAAAACTGACCCGCCCAGCCCTCACTCACGACCCGCCTGACGTCTGGACTTCTCGTCTCATCGTGTAAAAGTGCCGTTTTCATCGGGCGACTAAGAACCGGAGAACACGTTCGAGGTTCCATCCTGTCCAAACGTTTCTCAGTCTGGTTCTCAGTTTTCTTACTGTCGGTCCGAAACTAAAGTTTCCACAGAACCACTGAAACCACAGCTAATCCCGATGAATCCGCCGCTTCAAGTAGTTCCAGTTTAACAACTAAAGCTTCATGAGAATCCTCCCACTGACAGTAAGGAAGCAGAACATCACCAGCAGCTCCGTCGTTCTTCAGAGTTGGTGCTACTGAGGCTATTTACACACGAAGGGTCGCGACCTTCAGCCCAGGAGCTCTGATCAAATCATCAAAATACGTTTTTATCACAAACACGAAAACACCCTCAGCTACGTCAGTCTTCTGGATGTTAGGGCAACATTTAGTGTGGTAGTAGCTTAGAGTCATCCCACCGGATCACACCGGAGAGCGAGGCAGCTCATTCCTTCAAGAGATGTTGAAGAAAAGTTCAGTTCAGCAGGAAGGGAATAAATCTAGTTTCAGAAAGAGGTAAATGTCATTTGATACGTTTAAAACCTGGTCTTGATCAATAAATTGTAAAATCGCAGGAGACTGGGCTCCAGCTGCTCATCATCATCAGCTGATCATCAGTGTTTTATATTTTCGTATTATCTGATGTTTGCATCGATAAAACCGTAGATGAACTCTTTTACCTTCACTTCTTCCCATGTGTCGATTCAATAAACTCGTTTATTTTATTGTTTCCTTTCATTATTGATTCCTGATCATAGATTGTTACAGTTTTGTGTGACTTCATGTTTTAAAACAAACATTTTACTCAAGTTTTCTTCTCTTAGTTTAGTTTGTTCATTTAGAAAAAATAATGTTGTACTGACAAGAAGAGACCTGCTGTACAAAATATTTAGAAATAAAAAAATAAAGTTTGTCACAACTTGGTACATTCAGATGGATGGATGGATGAAAGGATGGATGGATGGATGAATGGATGGTTGGATGAACAGATGGATGGATGGATAAATGGATGGTTGGATGGACAGATGAATGGATGGACAGATGGATGGATGGATGGAAAGATGAATGGATGGATGATTGGATGAATAAATGGATGGATGGATTGTTGCATGTATCAATGGATGCATGAATGGGTGGATGGATGGACAGATGAATGGATGGCTAAATGGATGGATGGATAGAAAGATGGATTGATGGATGATAGGTAGATGAATGGATGGATGGGTGGATGAATGAATGGATAGATGAATGGGTGAATGGATGGATGAATAAATGAATGGATGGATGATGCATAGATGAATGGATGGATGGACGATGATGGATGGATAGATAGATGAATTGATGGATGGACAGATGAATGAATGATGGATAAATGGAAGGATGGATAAATGGATGGATAGACAGAAGAATGGATGGATGAATAGATAAATGGATGGATGGATAAATGCAGATATGTATGTATGAATGTAGATGGATGGATGAGAGATGGATGTGTGGATAAATGGAGGGATGGAATGCTAGATAAGAGTCACATCTTAGCTCAGTGAGATATTTTGCTAACACACAGGGTCGACACAGATATTCTTTTTTTTTAGATACGGTTAATGAGATATTTTGCTAACAGACAAAAAACATGTAGACACAGGCAAAAACATCAGAGCCTTCAGAGCTCAGTGATAAAGTTTAAATATTTGTTTATTTACTGTTGATAACGAGGAGGTCCGTCACGTGATCAAATTATAAAAAGTCGCAGAGTAAATGTTTGCACTTGAACACATGTTCAACGTTTTATACAGGAAGTCTGCAGGGAGAATAAAGTCCTTTAACTTTCACACGTAAGAGCAGATGTTTGTATTTTTTATTGATTAATTTATTGTATTTTTTATTTTTGTGTTGCGTGGACTCCTCCTCGGGGTTTTGGTCGGATGTTTCTGATGAAACATTTCCTCTGAACACTTTCAGTTAAAGCTTCCCGCCGCCACACCTCCACAACTGCATTTCCCACAATGCCCCGCGCTCCAAGCAGGAAGAACGTTGCCTCGCAGGGGCTCACTCTGATCCAAGTTAGGAGCTTTCAGCTGCCAGCCTCGGCCCATCATGTAAGAGCTGCGGAGGATCCTTTGCAGCGCTTTTGCACGAATTCCCCACGTTTCCTGACGCACGCGCGGACCGTGCATTCGTAGCCGCGCCGCGTGCACGGACGCGAGCGCTTCGGACGGAGAAAGGGTCCAAGTGCATGAAGACCAAGGCTTGTATTTTGCATCTTTGTTGCAGCGCGAGCCGCCTGAAGCTCCAGCTCGATGGAGGGAGGGAGCGAGAAGGAAGGCAAAGTCTTTTGTGCTTCCCCTCCCCCCCATCAAAGCAGAGGGGAAATGTCTCAGCCGAAGGGAGGTAAGGACATGAAGCCGCCACATGCAATCACAGCTGCACGCTTTGCAACATGCACGGCTGCAGCGCGAGCGCGGCCGGTGCATGTTAAAGTTCCGAGGCTTAGGAGGGTCAGTTGCATTTCCTGTTTGAGATCTTCCTCTTTGCACAGTTCCTGGCGAGGCGATGCTGCGCGCAACTCTCCTGTCGACGCTAATATCTGCGCACGAGCAGGAGATGTGCAGCGCAGTCAGTCACGAGACGCACGCGGAGCTGCAACTCTTTAGCATGACTGTAATACAAACTCCGCACCACTTCATGCACGGCCCGTGCACGCTGCTCAATTTAAATGTTGCGTTCAGGGCCACAAGCAGGCACGGTTCGGTGCAGGAGGTGGGTGGGTTGGGGGGGGGGGGGGGGGTGCATGACAACCTGCAGCTGTCAGTGTTGAAGTTTGTGTTCAGATCTCTCTCTGCGTCTGGGAAATAATGTCAGAAATCTAAAAATAGAAGCGAGTTGTGGGCCTGGTACAACTGTCTGCAAGAAGCGTTCAGGAAACTGGAGAAGATGTGCAGCCCCCACCCCCAACATGCATGGTGCACTTTGACCCCAGCTCTGTCACCCTGCAGCAGGGGCAGAGCCCGTCCCCCCCCCCCCCCCCCCAATGATTGGCTGTATTGTCTGGTGTGCAAGGACCCCACCAGTGTGGTGTGAAAACCACTGGATTAATATAAAGCAACAATTGTGTGTAATATTTCTGGCTTGAGGAACCAGTTAAATGGTCAATTTGTAACGGCAACGACGTGGAGCAACACGCAATGTTCCGAGGAACGTTGACGGGGACGTGGCAGCTATTTTAAATTTCTGAGTTGACTATATGTTGGTGGTCACCGCTCCCACCACACCAAATTCAGCTCGATATCTAAAATCGTTGAGTTATAGCCTTTTCAATATAGCTTTGGCGGCCATCTTGAATTTTTGATTAGCATTCAGACTGTTTAAAGTTAAGCTTTGACTGCTTATATAGTTATTAACGGTCGGCGGACGTGCACGGCTGAATAAAAGGGGCAGAAGATCGGAGCTGAGGGGATGTTTCGCCTTTCATTTCTGTCAAAGCACATTAAAACCCTGCTTCTGCATTATTCAGACATGGACCCTGCTCTGACATGTCTGCTTTGGGATATCACCCGTTTGGGTCGTCGGCCGTGCACGTCCGCTGAGTGCAGCGGCTGAATGAACGTCCATTTGGGCGATGGATCACTTCCTGGCAGTACAGTCCCATCTGAAGCTTAACTGAACTTTATTTGACCTCTTTCAAGGTCGGTCAGCTCGCCGTGAAATGGCCGCGTGCGGCTGGTTAAGGTATGGCAACCCATGTTGCCATGTAATTGGATCGCAGCTGATCTGCTGACGCAATCAAAAGCCCGACACCGACCGGGCCCGCCCATCCAGCATATTATTATGGGGCGGGCGGGGCTTCGGGCCTGATTTGGAAATGACAGCTCTACTGCCTGGGCAAGTGACCTAAGGGAAAATAAAATGGCTGAATATTAGCCGTTTGTAAAATTAGCATTACCGGTTAGCTTCTAATCAGAATGCGTCAGAATCCATGACGGTTGATTTTCGCTACCGCCGTACCAAAAGTCAGCTAAAAAAATGTCTGAGTTGTGGCAGGAAATGGTGCAGTGGTTCATGAAATATTTTGCTAACAGACATTTTCTGCTATTTGTCTTTGTTTTGTAAAGCTAGCTGTGGATGTGACGGCTCCAGCAGCAGCAATCTTTTGTATCGGCGATCCTAACCGGCTCTTGTGGCTCTGACCTGTCGTTTGTGTAAAACGTGCTCGTTTTCATCTTCAGTGCTCTGAAGACCTCCCTGCACCGTAGAAAAGGCAGGGCCCAATTTTAAAGAGCAGGAAACAGTAAAGACCAGCTAAGTATGTTTAACAGGACATTAAATGCTCCGTGTGCATCTTGTGGTTTTGGACTTTTCTTTAAGACATCAATTATGAACGTGCTATAAATTGAACGTGCGTCTTAAGATGTAACAGGAATATATTTGATGAACTCACAGATTGATTACGTCACTCCACCTCTCGTCTTTTCTAACATCAGTCGTGTGTCGATGTTTCCTTTTTAGTTTTAGAATGATACAAAAAAACTGGGGGAAATGGAAATAATATTAACTACAGATTTAAGACTGAGTTTCATGAAGATGTGAAGATGAACTGATTCGTATTAATTCACAGAACTGGTGTTCAGCTCATTTTCACAAACCAAAAGTTAACACCGGCTCCTGTTTGACGGCTAGCTCCGGTCAATATTTATTAAAAAAAGAAAAGGAATAAATAAAAGTATCTTTTTATCAGATTTGTCAGTTTGTCTGAACCGTGGAAACTCTCAGGACGGACTGAAGTTGTGCTCCAGGAGGAGAAAAGCACCAGGAGTTGGTTGACAATCGGGACATCTTGAAACCGTTTTTATTGCCGGGGAAATGTTCCGGTCCGTTTGGTGAAACTATTTTAAAATCCGTGTTCTGTGAACTCTAAACAAAATGTACAAA